TAAATTTGCATATAAAAGCGACTTATGGAAGCGACTACGTAAATTGATTATTAATATTATTTATGACTTTAGTCATTCGAAAAGTAACGGCGACAACACGCCACCTTGAGGTACCCCAGCGCGGACTTCGAACCATGACGAGTATGTTTCGTCCACACAAACTCGCTGTCTTCCGCCACTGAGGTAACTTTGAAGCCAGTCTTTTACTGATGGAGATATGTTAAAAGAACATAACATACTCAACAAGATGTCATGGTCAACGATTTTTTTAGTTGTTTCTTCGTAATGGATGTATAAAACAATAACTCTGTCGCACTTAACTCTCGCGAGCAATTGTGGTAGTATAAAAAATTACCTTTTTGTTAACTTTTTCACCATAACAGCTGAAGAGAAAGACTAGGAGGAAAGTATTACATTTATTTAATTAAGTATTACTATTTAACATATGCACTAATGTTACAGATTTAGGTTGTTTTAATGAATAAATCAGTAAATAAAGATAAAAATTATTTACACGAAAATATTATATAGTATTCAATACTGATATAATAATACAATACAACACAGTTTGACTTTGATTTATTTAAAAAGTAGTGACTGCAAAATAAACGGTAAAGAAAACGCTTCAAATCAGTTTAAAGTTCTAAGATATTCAGTTCTAAGCACAAGGTTATACAAAGATGAAGTCCAAAGTTTACAACTTTGTCGCATTTCAGCTATGATATACCGTTCAATTGTGTAACTTTCATTGTGTATAAAGCATTATATTGTTTTATGTTACAAGAGATTATGTTATAATTTTTAATGAAAATCTTTCTACGAATTTAGCCTTTTTATTTATGATTCTAATAAAGAAAACACAAAGAGTAAGCAGTTCGTCATATTATAATGATGAACAACAGCTACAATTGTAGCTTCAACAAAAACAAATTTCCATTGCTAGATTTACCCGAACAACTCATTTAATATCAAGTATGAGAACCAACGTCACTCTTTAATATTATAAGTGTTTGAGGAAGATGCGTTCTCATCTGTTTCCGAATTCATTCTAATTAAAGACGAGGTAAACTGTTTGTGGTGTAGGAGTTATGTGGCAATAGACGTATTTTAATATTGATGTTCGTATTTTAATTGCATCTGAAAGAAAATAACACTGCGGAGCGTTTCTAATTTTAAAGACAATTTTTTATCCCAATCTGATCAATAAATTCTTATAATAAAAGGTAATTTAAAAAAATCACTCCATGACCTCAGTATACAAACAAAGTAAAATTATATTTCCTTAAACTATAAGCTTCTTAAACAAAGATTTGTTTATGTCTTGTCCTTGTATTCCTATCTATATTTCTCGTATTATATTCGTAAACTGAAAATGTCTTTTATATTTATCATTGACAATTGTTGTGATCCCAAAGGATTATATATCTCATGTATTCTTGAAATAACTTCAGTATGATAATTGTAAGACTAAATAACGTATGAAGCCGCTTAGACCTTGTCGATTAAGACTCGATTGTGTCTAATACAGAATAATACCAAATAACTTGTAATCATATCCATTCCGTATTTTAAGATTACATTACTGGTTTTGATTGTAACAAAATATTCACTAACGCCAAAAACCAGCAATGTTTATTGATCATAACAATCAATGTGAATAGTGTTCTTGTCTAAAACATCGATAATAATATAGAAGGTACTATCACTTAGCAAACGCAACCCATGATGGTAATGCGATATTTTTAAGCACTTTATTTGCATTTTATTAACCGAACCGATATCTTCAATAACTATTCCTCGAGATTCAACGGATCTAAATCAGCTTAGCTATTCTATATCAATTTATTGTATTAATTTTTGATTTATATTGAAATTCAAAACCAAAACCTGCATATACGTTTTCTTTTTCTATCTTTAATGATAAAATATGTTAAATGTTTACATAAATTTTGTGCTAGTTTGTGAATTGAATAGCTTGTATCGTGACCATGAAAACACGGCGGTCCTTTTCTGACTCAGCAGAACTACATATGATCCTTTCTAAGTGCGTCAAACTTATATTTATACGACATATTCTACATATATGTTCCTCGATTGTATTGGCACATAAAGAATGATTTATACACTTTATAAATTTACTTAAAATTCGTTATGGATGGAATAGTTGTAAATGTTGCTTAAAATACACGTAATAAAATTACGAGTAGTCATCTGAACTTCAACTACAATTTTTATGGACACTGAGAGTATGTTATAATTGTTATTATCGTTTAAAAAGTTATAATTATAACGTTCTATTACTAATACATTTTTTTAAATTTAGTTTGAAGGAATTTGACTGTAGTTTTAACTATTGATATAAAGATTTATTGGTGATAAATATGTTTTTTTTGGACAAACTACAAAACATCACACACATGGTATAACGCGTCGGAGTTCATTTGTTACACGTTTGTAACATTTGATAAGAATTTGGTAGACATTTTCTTTTTCCGAGGAAACGTGAATTTATTGATATAATGATGGAGAGATGAAGAGGTCCAGGGAAAAAAGTGTGAGGGGAACTAAGATATTAGTATTTATTTATATTAGATATTAATTTTCATAAGAAATTCGCCTTTCCTTATCGATCTTTTCAAATATAATGATTTATTGAAAAAAAAACTATTCACAACTCATATAAAAATTAGATAAAGTTGATATCTTTAAACAAAGATCTTGAGATGAAATCATAGTAAGATTTAAAATATTTTCTTTTTATATATTGTCAATAAACAGGAGTACTCTATACATAGATATAAATATAAACATCGTGACATGTTCCGTCATTCACAAATGACAGCTCGGTTGGTGTTTGAAGTGAAAATGTTTTTAGCGGACTGAGACAAAGTCAAACAGTGTGTCTGTATTATTGAACTGGTCGTGTATATATGGAAGTGAGTTTAAATATTCGTTCATAACCTGGATAGGGATTGAGAGGTAATCGCAAATTGCACATAGTAAAATGTTTTATTGAAGCAACTATATAGTTGGTAAGTTTACTGTTATCTATTTATATAATATAAATATACAATATATAATTGTAAAATATACTTATCGTATTTAAATAGACAACTGATATTTCTAATATTTAAATATTAACTGTCGAATAGTGAGGGTAAGACTTACAAAAACTTTGCGTCATTAAAAATATGTCAAACTAGTGTTTAATATATTATGTAAACATATCGAAATCTGCTTTAGTTATAAAACTGATAACAGTTTGTGCATAAGTTTAGATAATATTTAGTAACTCAATATTGTATAAACAGTTAACGGTATCCTAATGAGTGCATCAAAGCAAGGTAATTTTATATTCAACATATTGATGCATCAAAATAAAAGAATCGTAAAAAAACTATAAATAAAATAAAATTATAACAAAAGATTTTAATAAATAGAGTTACTAATGCATTAAGAAATACAATTATGTCTCCACACTTTATCTTGAATATAATTTCGTTGGATTTATATTGATTAGTTATAGGAATCATCATAATATTAAAAGTCCATGCACTATAGTAATTCAAAACAATCTTATTCACTGTCAGCGTATTTTTTGTTCGTGGCTAAAAGATTTTTGTGGCACACAAAATTGATTCCAAAGAGGAATAAAACGAGTAGCAAATTCGGCAACTGTTATCTCTTGAAATCTGAATATTCCAGATATTTATGTTTTATTCAATCATTATGTTAAAAATGACTTTATTTATTTTTCTAATGCATTTTATATTTATATATAATGTAAAAGAAGTTACTTCATCAATTCAACAGCAAATGAAATACAAAAAAAAACATTCTGCAATAAAAAATACACAATGTGACTAACAATAGACATTGAATATTTTATATAAATTTCGAAAATGATAAAGGATTCTAATATTAACTTATTAATCTATGTTCCTTTGCTCATTGTATTTCTTTTGTCAGTAATAAAATATAATTGTCTATATAACGTGATAACATACTCGTACAATTTACGCGAGTGGATTTCAGTGTCATATCCAAAGGAATATTTTTAATATAGACTAAATTTTATTTTATAAAGTGAAGAAAGGATTAGATTAAAGAAAAAAAATACTAGTCTGTGAATGTACATTTAGTTAACTTTAGTCCCTAAATGAAAAACGTCATTCAAAACAGGAACGATCGGCCGCAGCAATGAAAAAAAGTTATTCCCCTAAAATTAAGGCGTCAATCTCAATTGTCACGTTTTAATTTATTCATAGCTTCTTTCTGATTCAAGGACCACATCTTATTAATATGTTTTTTTATCAACAGATTTTTTCTTCCTTTTGTATATTACGAATAGATTATATGACACAATAAAATATCGATATTTATATAATTTACAACACTACTTCCATCGTAGCATGCGTCGAGGCTCATTTGTTACAACTCTGAAACATGTGTTAAGATTGTGCTCAGCCTGATATATTTAAGTAAGTCATGTGGCAAGTAATAACTCACATAAATGGCTCATTTAACGGGAAATATTGATTGATATTGTATTGTATATTGTATATATTTGTATTGTATATTGTATATATTTAAATCAATAAATACTTCATAATTTATGAATAAATCACTTTTAGTAAATTATTTGGTATCAATAAAAATATCTATAAATTATTCCAAATATATTAAATATTTTTCATAATGTACAATAAAGAAATTTACTCAATATTTAACAGTGTCACGGTTGATCATAAAAAGTTAACAATAGATTATTACGTGATAGTGGAAAAAAATTGAAAAATATATTGTTGTCATAAAATAAATTCAATAAAGCGAGTATAGAGATAAAAATCTAGTAACGATACATTAAAGTTGAAAATTTAAAAAGTAATTTCCTTTGTATTGAAATTTGAAAATGAATAGTTCCAAATATGTTTTTGATAGACCAAATTTTATTTTCTTCATTGTGTAATTTATAACCAAAGTCAAAAGTTATGTAGAGTATGGAAAACGCTAGTGATTGTAGTAAATCGGGAAACAAGAAACATCAACTTATTATATTGTAAGTAATATAGAAATATATAATTCAATAAGAAGCCTTTTTTATCCCTGAACAAATCAGATCGACCTCATTGTAATGTAAATATCTTTTAGATATGTATATTGGAACATCTAGAACTGTGTTTGTCTAAATTAATCTCTCTTATATGATACTCAGCTTACTATTTTACTTAATAAAAAGAGATATGTACTCAGACGCTGCACATAGATAGCGGTAAAACAACATTCAGTAGTAGATACAAAGTCATATATTCTTATAATATAGAAATACGGAAGTGCTTTTGTTTTTCAACAAAGCATTTGTTAATGAAGATTGTATAAGAATCTTTATTTAAGAGATCATACCGCGGGATTTTCATACAAACTTAGTTGAAATTCGTTCCGAAAGGAGAAGCTATTTTTAATGATATTTAAGATTTTAGCGTGTATTCATTGTAATGAAATATGGTTTATTCATATACTATGTACATTTTTCTTATTTTATATCCTTATAATCCTGAAATTTTGGTTCCTTTACAGCAACAATAATCGCGTGCACTATCATCCTGTCTGACCGTCGTGAAATAACAAAAAATGCGTAGTATCCGTAAACTTAGTATCAATTAAGCGATTTGTAATGAATTAAATTCATTAACATATATTTTTTATTTTAAAATCCTGTTTGTTTTTATAACACTAGCAAAGGATGAAGTTATTAAATTTTAATTTAACAAAGCCAAAGATTTGTTGGACGAAAGCCAAATTTAAGTCATTCTAAAACTACAAAGTACTGATCTAGCTTATCATTTTATTAAAAGTAAATGAAACATAAATTTATACATCTTAAATGAAATAATCCTTCCAACTACGGCTCACAATGGAAACAATTTCTTGAATGAAATGAATTATTTCAGTGGTCATATTATGTATATTATAAGGTCGAAAAATAATACATTGAAATTAAAATCCATGTCTGTTTATTCAACTTTGATCATTTCTGCTTTTTTTACACTTGTAAATCATAGTGGAAATATTCTTTAATCTGTATTAAGTTTGATATTTTTGGAATAATTTCAATGAAAGTTATTTTAAGTTTACAATTTAGCAACCCTTGAAATATCATATAATTTAGCATACAAATTGTTTCTTTAATTTTAAAATCAAGTGAAAAGAATCGCTATCAGTTCAATAACAACTTAAATTTACAGAATATGCGAGACACTTTCGTCTTCAGTAACATGATTTAAAAAAGGTCATGTTGTCGAATTTACTCTCGTTTAGTATGGTAAATATCTCATTTTAATATTTTGAAATAAATTATTCTTTGTTACAAGGTTGTTGAATTTTAATAATTTAACTTATTCAGTGGGTTATAAAAGTTCTTGATTTATCACAAACTGAAGCTACATTATGTTCTAAGAAATATGTTTGTAGTGGTTTCAAAATAAACGCAAATAATTTTTTTTTGTTTTATTATATTTTATCAACTAGATATTTAATGTCGTTATGAGTCAAAGGATTTTATCTATAGAATTTTGATAAATGTGCCGATGTTTGTATGTTGCTGCTAAGAAAACGATTAACAATTAAAACGATTAAGATTAATCTCCATATATACCTATATACCTTGTATAGTATACCCAAATCATTTCTTATGTATAATAAATCTTCTTAAATGAAATACAATGTATGAAATATTATCTTTATTTTGATGTTTATAATTTATGTATATATTGGATTTATTAATTTTTTTTCTCTTTTTTGATTTAACAGAATTAAATATCCTATGTCGATCTACTAATTCTAAGCTATCTCTGCGCCAATTTTCATCTAAACCCGTACAGCCGTTCTCGAGTTATAAATAGTCTAACTAACACGATTTTCTTATATATACAGATTACTTCTTAACTTAGTTTTAATAATACTTCCAGGTGCATGGGTGGTTCACACTCAGGTCCTACGCGAGTCCTAACCCCCTCCCCCTTTGTCATCGGTCCCGGCCTCCTTCCCGGAGTGAGCCTCGGACACGGGGTCGCTAGCGGAGCCCCAGCCGTCCATAGGAATGGATATGGTATGATATGGCCCTCGTGGTCAGAGCTGTGCTGAGGCCGGACTCTGGTGAGTTAAATGACATATATGAAGATGGAACTGATATATAGTGCCAATATATATATTGTTTTAAATACTACTTGTTATTTATACGTAAAACAACAGAAATCCATAATTTACATGTGCATTTATAATCCGAAGAATCTCTGAAATGTCTCAACCAATATCTATGAACCTCTAACTAGTATATTATATATTACACTATCGCTCATGTTACAGCAGTTTTATATATTATTTATATATATAAAATAAATGTTGATTCCAGCATGATGGGTACGGGCTACATGCCATACGCTGGCTTCTACGGCACCAACCAATACCATTCAAGTACAGCTCATGTTTGACCAGCGAGCACACGGTGTACGGGTGAGTGTTACAACATATATATACATATATAAATATATCATCATCATCATCATCATCATTAGCAGCAGTCTATCAGAGCCAACAGCTGATAAGCCTCTCCTCCTCCTCCTCACATGGAGAAGGTTAGAGCATTAATCACCACGCTCTCTCAACACGGGTTGGTGTTTCAAATTAAGTTGTGTTACTTACACTTTTTATAACTCAAGAACTGCTGTATTGACATGGTTGAAAATTGGTAGAGAGATAGTTTAGAACCAGGACACAGACAAATTAATTTAATTCAATTCAATTTAGCAAGATTTTTTTAAAATAAATTCCAATATTTAGGTTATTTATGGCAGCTAGGGCAGAATACAGTTTGCCCGGTCAGCTATACATTACTAATTCTTAAAGTAACGCAGACGAAATCACAATTAAAAGCGAATATATATAAGTGTTTCATTACATTACAGATACAATCGTGAGGAGAGTGTGTTATCTGGCAGCGGTGGGTCCATCTCACTACCAAGGAACCTCCAGGTCAGTCTCACACACACTTATAACGAGTTGACGTACTAACTTACAATTATCTTGATTTGAATTTGAACTTTGTGTGAAACGAAATCTGATTATGTATAACACAAACGAAAGATTTGAACACAGAAAATATTACTAATGACTAATCTACCACATTAACGCGAGTTACGAACGAAAAACAGATGCTTATACATATGTAGTTTGAGTCTTTGCTACCCTCTCATACTCTTATATATATTTATAATAGTACATAAAACACATCGTTAGTTGTTTTGGATTTAATTGTTGTCAAATTAATAGTAAAGCCTTAAGCTGTTAATTTCCACAAAACCACTTGAGACATCATGAAATAAGTGTGAAGGTCAAATAACATGTTAAGGTCATTGGACAAAACTCTAGCTTTTTTGGTTTGAATTATTTATATCTTGATAAAGATATTGTTTTCAATTTTAATAAACAAAGTTATAATTATAAGCCACAGAAGAAAAATCCATGGAATACTTAAGTTTTTATTAAATTTGGACTCTATTGTTTTTCTTATTTGGATTTTTCGTGTAATATTTTTTACAGTTCCAATATTAAAAACAAATTTTAAAAAAATAATTGTAACCATAGCAGTTCTAACGGTTGAAAAGTACGTGATACTCGTATAAAACCTGGCCTACCCTACCTACCTACCTTGTTTGTTTATAATATAAGTAAATTAATAAGAAATCGTGTATTTTAATAGTGGTGAACATATTTAAGAAAACATGACAGTTAAATAAAGCTAAATTCGAAAATTTTGTTATCAGTCGTATTTGTTAAACCGACAATATTTACACCAGTACAATGATACGGTCTGATTATTGACACGAACTTTTCATAGCTTTCAACTCATATCATTGCGAACTTCACTGTCTTTTTCTGTAGCTGACTATCAATTAAAAGTAGTAAAATAGTAATACAAAGATTCTAGAATCAAAATTTTTCGGTTGAACGTTTTAGGAGTGAGCTGCTTCACAGGCAACATCCATTGTGGGTGGAGTATAACAAAACTAGTACAAAGCGCTGCTATAGTTTTTCAGCTTAATAAGAGGCATAAGGAATAATTTATTTGTTATATTATGTTAGGATATTATTATAAAACAATTAATTAGTCATCATGGTGGCTCAAGTGGGTTGTTTGATAATGCGAAGTTATAAAACATTGATTAAGATTTGTTTAAGAAGACCATAACAATGTCTCCTCGTCCCTAACCGAGATTCTCGGAAGTTGTAACTTTCAAGTTATTCATAGTTGAGAAATATGGGTAGTACCAATTATAAGTGCTTCACTATTATTAAAAGGCCACCCCAGTAGATAAAATATCTAAGTAATTCTCATAAACTTTATTGATAAACAAAGTTTATATGTAATCTGAATATGTCGCTTAATTGTACTTACTTTATGAACTGGTCATTTGTATTCCGGTTTTGTTTGGTAATTCTGTAATCGGTCGTGGACAAAGATAATCTGATAGTTTGAAAATTTATGCACGGAACAAACTATTTAATCTATTAATATTAGTTTCTAAATTAAAATCTGGAGTAAATCTCAATAAAGATAAGTTTTAATAAAAAGTATTTTTTCGTTTTTCTAAGCGTCTGTTAAATTTTTATATAATTTATTGGGAACCTTTTATATATGTTTCTTATTTATAATTAACCATGAAATCGTTGAATTAAAATGTTGACGAAAACACTTAAAGCAAAAATTAATCAAAGACTTTATTAAGATTGCTTGTAATTGGTTTTAAAATAGTGATTTGTAAGTGGTTATAGCTTTCATTTTAATCTCAGCAATTATAACAGTTGAATTGTTTAATTTAAAAAAACTTCTACGACATTTTTTTACTTTACCTCCACCAGCAAAACAAGCTGCAGATTTTATAACAATAGTTTAAAATATATGGAAAATGAATAAATAACTTGATTCTAGAAAAAGGAAACGTCTTTTTTGTAAACAAAAGTAATAAATTTCATAAAAAATATTTCTATACCGATCTTATGAAAAGAAAAGTTCTGTTTCTGTTTATTTCTTATTTCAATGACAATTCTCAAACATGTAAACCAATCGCGGGTGAAACCAGGGTCTGAGTTACATGTTGTGAATAGTTTTGGCTAATTGTTTTTACGACCGGCCGCCTGCCTGACATTAACCCTCTTTGGGAATGCATTAATCAGTGATGTCTAAATACTCTCAGAAAGTACACATGACTCGGAAAAATCACAGTGGTACTTGCCAGGGCCAGGATCAAACCCGAGCCCTCATGGATGATAGGCGGGACCTCAAAAAATGAATATGAATGGTGAAAAATGCTACAATGTGTTTTGTAAATATATATATTTTATCTATACTATTAAATAACGGAATTTGTCAATAATGTATTGAATTTCCTTAATGTTTTCTTTTTTAATTCAAAATTTGAAAACTTGAAAGAATGAGACAGGATATTTAAGACCTTGTTTGTTAATTACGTCTCATCTGATATGTCATATCCCCGTGATCACGATTGCTGGAAAAGTAACCGAAACGTGGAGAGTATGTCTTTCTTACAATAATAAATTGCGCGTAGTAATCCAAGCAATATTTCTTTCATTTAAATGAATACTCGCTAAATTAGATAGATAGATACATAGATCTCATTACCTTGTTAATTAATTTAAGTTTTTGATTATGAATTTCCTCTGCTTTGAGAATAATAGTATTTTTTTATATTCAATGTATTCCGTTTGGAAAGCATACGTAAGCAAGCGTTTAAAAATTTTATTCTTTAATAATTCATATAGTTTTTTATAAGTCAAACAATGTGAAAAATTTAATTTAGAAACAAGTCTGTTTTCTTTTAATAACGTTTATTTACTTAGCTTTTATTATTGTAATATACCTAACATTCAACAAAGTAAATTTAAATATATATCGGCACTATCAGCTTTAATAACGGATGCGACATGAAAATAATTTGAGGCTGTTATCAATTCTTATTAAACCTCATTAGTATTTATGATTATTGTTAAAAGTAAAACGAAATCAAATGTTTGAATCTTGGTATAAATATGACGTCTGGACGCACGACGGCAGAATAGAGAATTCAGAATTCAGAGTTCAGTGAGTGCGTATCATTGAAGTATGTGATTATGTAGAACCTTCGAGAAATACAGGAACATTAAGAACAATTAAAGTTTCATTTTAAAATATCATGGAACGCTCTAGAAAAAGTGACATTTGTTACATCAGCGAGGCTGGCGTCCCTCTTTTTAAAAACAACGAATCTGTAATAAATCCGATATATATATTTTTTTCACACTGTTAACATGTCCACGACCGCTTTTCTAAGTTTTGCAAAACTGTTGTATTACCCATGGATAACTTTCTTTATTAACAGAAATTTATTATTGACATGCGTTCTCGGGTATATTAAATTAATTCAAAAATTTGCTGTTTAATAGTAGAGCCATTGAGGCAGTTAAAAATGAAATTTCAATAAAATCGTCACTTTTCAATTCATATAAATACACAAATATGCACCGATTAATTGTTTATATTAACACATTGAGTTTGTTATTGTAATGTTATATAATAAAGTATTATTTTCATTAAATTAACTTACAATTTACTTGACTAGAATAGAATATCATATAAGATGTTTCGGTAGGATATTGTTGACAATTCTGCAACCAACAGCACATGAGAAATTCTTAAAACAGAACATTGATAATGCCGTAATCGTTGTAAAACATCTTACAATCCAATTTTCTTTCGTTATGAACAGCTTTTTCTTTATTCTGGATGTTTTTATTTTAAAAATAAATGAAAATATTAAATATTATTAGGTGTACAACTTTGCTTCCGCCGTTTTTTTCCGAAATTCGAGGCTTTATTGTAAAAAACTGGTTATACATTTATGATTCAAAGTATTGTCCATCGCTGGCCACTACTTTCTCCCATCTTTCGGGCAGCATACGAATCCCGCGTTGAAAAAACTGGTCATCTTTTGAAGCGATCCACAAATAGATCCAATTTTTAACTTCTTCATAAGACCGGAAGTGCTGGTCAGCCAGGCCGTGTGCCATTGATCGAAACAAGTGATAGTCCGAGGGAGCAACGTCTGGAGAATACGGCGGGTGGGGTAGGACTTCCCATTTCAACGTTTCCAAGTATGTCTTGACCACTTTCGCAACATGGGGTCGAGCATTGTCGTGCTGTAAAATCACTTTATCATGTATCTCGTTGTATTGCGGCCGTTTGTCTTTCAATGCTCGGCTCAAACGCATTAATTGCATTCGATAACTATCGCCTGTGATTGTTTCAGTCGGTTTTAACAACTCATAATGCACTACGCCGAGCTTGTCCCACCAAATACTGAGCATACCTTGGAATATTTAATACTTAAGCAATACATACACACACACACACACACACACACACACACACACACAT